TGCTAAGTGAAACAACCCAGTCCTAGAAAGGTATCTATTCCATTAAAGTGAAAGGAGTCCCATTAGAGATGTGGAAGGATATGCTGGCTAGTTTTTGTAAAGTTTACATAAACTAGGATCATCTGGGAAGAGGAAATTTCATTTGAGAAATTGCCTTCATTAGATTGGCCTGTAGGCAAGACTTTGGGGCATTTTCTTGATAAGTGATTGATGTGAGATGGAATGAATGTGTAATGTGTAATGGGCCCAGCCCACTGTGGGTGGTGTCACCCCTGGGCAGGTGGTCCTGGGTTGCATAAGAAAGTAGGCTTCACAAGCCAGTAAGCAGCACTCCTCCATGGTGTCTGCTTCAACTGCTGCATTGAGTTCCTGTTCTGTCTTTTTTCCCCACAATAGACTCTGAGCTGTAAGGTGACATAAGCCCTTTCCTCCTCAAGATGCTTTTGGTCATGTTGTTTATCTCAGCAGTATAAAACCTAGCTAGAATAGATATTAATATCAGGAATGAGTTCTTCCTCAAATAATAAGATTAAGGAAATTCCTCACAGCCTCTTGGATTTCAGTTATTCCAGATGTAGTCAAGTTGACAACCAAAATTATTCATCAGAAGTTACAAAATCCCACTCTTCATCAATCAGTGCCCTCACTTTTAACTGCTGATACCCTCTGAGTCTGGGACTTGAATTTTCATTGTAATTCAGCCAACCTTATAATGAGGGCTTGGGTTTGATTTTTTGACAACTTGAGTTCCATGTCTGCTTGGCAAAAGATCCTCTTCCAGGGCACACTTTTAGGCTGTTTATGTGCATCTGAAGCCAGTTAATTTTATCACAGGCTCATTCTTTTACTTTGTCTCTTTATCCCAGAATGCTAGAAGCAACCAGCTAGCATCATTATGCTCCTTTCTTTCCCACAAATTATCAAAAGCCTTATGCCTAGAATCACTAAATTCCTTGCTCCTCACAAGGGGTAAATACAGACCATCAAGTGTGTTTATCTCGATGACTTCTTTAAATACATGAGATCTTGTGGATTAAAAAAAGAGAAGGGTCATTGTTTAATAATGATGCATTTGTGTGTCAAGTTAACAAGGAGGGCTCAGTTATGGGGGTCAGTTTTTTGTCAACTTGACACAAGCCAAGATCACCCGAGAAGAGGGAACTTCAGTTGAGAAAAAATGCCTCCATCAAATGAGCCTTCGGTCATGTCTCTGTGGAGTTTTCTTAATTGCTAATTGATAAAGTAAGGCCCAGACCACTGTGGGCAGTACCATCCCTGGGCAGGTGAGCCTGTAATACATGAGAGCTAACTCAGCAAGCCAGAGGAAGCAAGCCAGTCAGCAGCACTTCCCCATGACCTCTGCCTCAGTTCTTGCCTTGAGTTCCTGCCCCGCCTTCCCTTCACTATGTACCTTGAACTGTAAGATGAAATAACCCTTTCTTCCCCAAGTTGCTTTGGCCATGAGGCTTATCACAGCAATAGAAACCTAATGTTGGGAAGGAGGACAAAGGATAAGAAATGGTAACAAAAGGATTAAATATAATGAAAGTATATTATAAGCATGTATGTAAGTATCTTAATGAAGGCAACTAATACACTCTTAAAAAGATGAACATTACTCTGTGTAGGACTTGTACTCAATCTTAAAAATATTAGTGTTGATCAGGAAGGTGTCCCTGTGAGGACTGTAAATGTCTTGAGAGGTAATGATAGTTGTAAACATCATAAGATCATGTGTATTTGAACAAAAAGGTATATTTCTCACTCAAAGTCAAGTACAGATATTTCTAGTTCAATGGCTCTCTTCTGAACAACAATCTACATAAGGTCTCCTTCTATCTCTTAGACCTGCCATGGCGAAAGGGAAGGCAGAGTACATGTCAATAACTACTCTGGAGTCTTAGAACTAACAGGGCTCTACACTCCTACTTAGATCTAAATGTGGCTGGAAAAATGTCTTCTAGCTGTGAATTTAGGAAGAAGGAAAGAATATACTGGCTTCAAGTGGACTCTAAAATGGTCTTCCACAAAGATAGTGCAATCCAGGTCTGCTGGGAAAACAGACAGGTTAACAGACACATTCTGCTCGAGTGTACAGTAATGCCAGTGATAAAGAAATGAATGCAGGGCCTTGGAGATTTTGGAGGATGTAGAATTGTTTTCAAACTTTTGTCAGCTACTGGAATGATTTCAGAAATGTGCTTGAAACACAGTTTGTTGATGCATTATACACATGGCTCTCTTTTAATGTGAAAGCCCACGTTCCTAAGCCCCCCAAAGCAGGGTGTTGCTGGTAGCTTTGTTTTGAGAATGCAACTGGTGTGTGCTTACCAGAGTACAAATTCATCTGGAATTTGGATCGCCCAGATTGAAGGGACTTTAGTAGCATTTATTCACACATTTGATCAACATTTAATGAAGAATCCTGACCCCAAATCAATTTACATTTTAAAACATTTTAGAAGTTATAATCTTTAAATCCCCATTTATAATTTTATAAGAACTCACATTCCTTGCAAGAGTTTCTTTCCAGGTTTTTTCCCCCTTGAGTCATTTTTTCTTATGAGAAAAAAATTAACTTTTGGATGAGAGGAAATGCAGTTGAGGCTCACATGTGGAGACTGTGTGAGAAAAAATGACAGAATACAGCATTCCTTCAGCCCTAATCTAGACCAGCCTGCCTTTAGCAACAGGAGTAATTTGTCCACAGCACCACCTGGAAAGGCCAGTCATGCAGCTATCCTTACACTACCTATGGCTATAGGACCGTAGATTGCCATCTTAATTTATATATTCCACCTGTGTGCTGATTCTGCTGCCTGCTGCTCTTAAGTGATTCTAATTAGAAAACACACAGGGGAATCCTTATGGGATTCCAAAGCTGCTAGGATCCCCTTTGATCTCCCATCTGAACCACCAAGGTTTATTGTTTCAATTTCTTCCCTCAGCGCTCTGGTTGACAATTATTGGTATTTTAGAGCCTGGAGATAGCAATGGGATGCCAGGCAGCCTAACAGTTGACAACAAGCACTTTGCCAGGGAGGGGGAAACCCACTCCCAAAGTAAAGGGAAAGATACCATCATGCACTTTATAAGTAGCTGCCAGTTTATGCCAGTGCTGGGTATGGCTAGAATTTTAAAGATATTCTCAGCATTTTAAAAAAGTCAGATAACCGGATACAAGCAGATGCAAACAGCACACTGAACCAACACCTAGTTAAATTCTGCAAAATGCTACGGTGACCCAAGGAATGTTTGGAGTGGCGAAAGAGTTTGTCTTGAGGTTCCCAAAGTAAAGATTTAAGCTCTAAAGGTAGTCCGTTTTGTAGAAAGGGGTAGAAAAGAGAAGAGCGGCGTCCCGAAGAAAGTTTTATTTATTTAATCTCGTTCACTTAAGGAGAATCTGAAGGATTTTATCCGACGATGGTCCTGGGGTCCGGATGAGAAATGGAAATGTGTGACAAGGGCTGTGGGAACGTGTGCTCACGCTTGACTAGGGCTGGGCTCACCGGGAGGGAAGGGCTGGGCTGGCTCTAGGGAGGAAGGAGGCGGAGGGAACACAGTATAAAAGTCTCCAGCTTAACAGCGCGCCTGCCACTCGGAGCCACTTCGAGAAGGCGGGAGCCAGAGCCACGCCAGCCCGACCCAGTTCACTCTAGCGTCGGAGGCGAGGATTCCGCTCTCTGCTGGTCCATTGCCTAGCCGTTCCGTTCCGCAGCCGCATCCCTTGCAAGGCATGAGTCGTTCGCCGGAGCCCGAGGCTGCAGCGCGGTCATGAGGCGGTGGCGCAGTAGCAGCGGCTGCGTTTCGGCAGCCCCCAAGTCCCCTCCAGGCGCGGCGCCCCCGGGATGAGCCCCCCAGACTCGAGCCTGCCAAGCTGAGAATTACCCAGCGCCCGGCTGACATCCGAGCGCCTCCACTTCGCTCACCGGGTCTCTTGCAGCCTCCCACGCGACACCTGCGCGCTGAAGTAGACGCGCGCGGACTGAATCCAACTCACCCATCTTCCTGACTCTCCAGAGTGCTGCGGGCGAGCGATCTTCGGTACCCAGTGATCAGCCAGCCCAGAGCCCACCAGCTAGTGTCAAGACCCTTCCGGACGGGAAGACACTGTGCCACTCCCCCAAGCTCGCCTGCTCAAAGCCAGGGCGCACAGTGGCGTGGTAGACACCTGGTTTGTCGGGTCCCTCAGTTCTCCACTCCTACAACTCCAGCTCTACTTTGCCCATAAACTTTTCTCAGGTGGCCTAGGCGCTCCCCACTCGCCCGCAGCCCCAAGCACTAGTGCGAGCAGAGGGCTCGCCCCTCCGCCACAGCGACCTCGGCAGCGGCACATTTAGCACAGCCGAGAAGGCGGACACAGGCGCCGGCGGGGCGCCCCCAGTTATCCTCAAACGGTGACAACCTCGGTGACCCGGAGCCAACCCATCCGGGGACTGGGCGTGCGGGGCTACGAAGGCTGGCGGCCCCGAGGAGCACGGAGTGAGGAAGGTGGTGGTTCCGAGGGTGAGTGGCTCAGGGCAGCAGGGGCGGGGGAGCCGAGAGTGGAGGTAACTTCAGGCAGCCGCTGAAGCCCTCCTCCTCCTCCTTCTCCTCCACCTCTTCCCGGCGCTCCTCTGGCGGCGGTTCCCGCTCCAGCTGCGGCACCGCGGCCACATCTGGGGCTCCCATGTGCGCTCGGGGGCTCGGCTGCGTCCGCCCCGCCGCCGCCCCCGCATCTCCCTGCCCGCAGGGTGGACCCTGGCCTGGCTTGGGTCTCGGACAGCCCCGCGTCCCCACCGCCACCGCCGGACAGCGCCTGGGATTGCTCGGCCACCGGCTTGGACGTCCCCGGCCCCGCGGTGGCTCCGCTGTGGTGTGGGGGCGGCGGTGGCGGCTGCTCCTGTTCCCCGGGCCCCGCGCGCTCGGCCGAGCCCAGAGCCAACCCTGCGGGCCCGGGGAGCGGGGCCCCGGCGGGGGCCGAGGCGGGAGCAGCGCAGCCGGGCTCAGGGGCTCCGACTCCTCCTCCCCCGGCGCCGCCGCCGCCGCCGCCGCCACCGCCGCCCGCCGCGCGGGGTCCTAAAGCCGCGCGACTCAAGAGGATGGTGCGCCTGGCCGCGGAACTGCTCCTGCTGCTGGGGCTGCTGCTGCTCACGCTGCACATCACGGTTCTGCGCGGATCCGGAGCCGCCGACCGGCCAGACGCGGCCGCGGGCAACGTCAGCGGGTCTCAGCTGCAGGTGAGTGCGCCGCCGGAGGGGGCGTGCGTGGTTGCGCGAAGTAGGGTGGCAGGCAAGGAACGTGCCCGGAGGCGGGTCCTCAGTTCTACCAACGAGCACTTGTGCCTAGGCCACTCTGCTAAGGCAGAAGCTCCCGGGCTATGTGATCAGGGGGTTGAGGCTATGTGTGGAGGCCAGGCCGGCTGCAAGGTCTACTACCTAAAGCACTGCTCAGATCTGTCACAGGCCAGGCACCAGGAAGGGGTGTTAGGTTTGGGATGTGCGGGACGGCTGGAGGATGCTTTTGCTTCTCGGTGCTTTCAGAGACTGAGTGACATGTCTGAAGGAAAGGAAGGATAGAGGTGAGGCGACAAGACACAAAGAGGCTTTATAAGATAAATCTCCAAACTGTATTTAGGAGAACGAACTCTGATGGGTGTGCAAACAGTGTCAGAGGTCAAGACATAATTTCTGGAGTATAGCCAGACAACTCAACCTTGTCTGTATGATTCCTTCACCTTCTGTGCCCCTTTGTACCTTGCAAAGCTCATAGTCAAGGCATCTGTGGAGATCTGGTCTGGAATTACTTGAGGCTTTTAAACTTGTAGCAGAGACTTCTTCTCAGTGACCACCCCCTTCGAAAAGTTTCTTTGGTAATAGGATTCCATTGATCCATTTCAGCTCCAAACAGGGGAAGAGTCGAGGCCTGAGGGCATATATTGGGCCTTGAGATGACAGATGAATTTTGTTGATTAAAGGTTGCCCACATGGGCTTTTCTGCTACGACTCTGGAAAGCCCGACTCATGATCCGAGGGATATGACAGGTGCAAACCTGGAGAGCTAGTAGAAGTGAGCCAAGATTTTCTTCAAGACACAGCCAGGATTCTCTAGTCTCCAAAGAAATCAAGTCAGGCCTACTAAAACTATTCACTCTGCAATGTCGATATGTTTACATCTTTATGCCCCCCCTTTTTTTGCAAAAAAAAAAGTTGTTGAGAGGAGCATTTATTTAAACAGCTTTATAGCAGGTATTTACTATGCTACTGTTTTAAGACTGTTACGAGATTTAGCTCATTTAATCTCATCATAACCCTCATTTCAAGATTGTTAATCTCTCTGCCTTACAGATTATGAAATTAAAGTACAGAGAGATTAAGAAACTTGTTAGAATTCTCACATTCCCACCTGTTGGTTAAAAGCCCATTGTCTGTCAGACTAAAGCAAGGTGACCTTTACAAATGCAATCCAGGCCTGCAAAAATACATACCTCAAACTTAAATGTTCTCCGACCCTTCTAAAAACACTCTGATTTTGTAGGAGCCTCTCACATTACCCTTTGAGTAAACCTGTACAGTGACAGATATTTCCCCATGCCAAACACTGAAGGAGTAGTTCTTAATATCTTCAAGACTTCTGGAAATCGTATTTTATATGTAATGCTTTCTTTCCTCATGGACTCATGAAAAGCTGTAAAAATGATGTTCTATGGAAAAGTAAATTTGGCAGATTTCTTTATGAGGTGCTTGCTATCATTAGAATAATCTCCGGTTGGCCTTTTCCACCCCAACAGTAAGTTAATGAGAGAAGCAGCTGGTGGAATTGGATAGGATACTCAGAGGGCTTTTGCTGAAGAACAGCCCCCCAAAGGCAGAAGATTTAAAAAGAGTTCTGCTTCTAGGAATATCTGGGGTCCTAAGTAGCTGCTAATCCGGTAGCTTCAGTTTATCTTGCTACAGTGTTCAGTCATGGTGAGCATCCAAAGCTCCCACTTAACCAAGCCCAGTGATGATTTTAACAGCTTAGTTTGTAACTTTATTCTTTTTGTAATTTCTTCTTATAAAAGTTTTATATTCTTCCTGACCAGAGTTATTTCTTGGGCTCAAGGCAGTATGATTCAATGGACAGAGCCAACTAAACCTGCAAAAGACATTTATCTGCTGTCTGCTGAGTGCAAAAGAATGCATTTGCTAGCAGCAGGTGTATTTGAAGACTAAACTATGACTGCTGAATTCTTTCTGTTTTCTGGACATTTTGAATCCAATTTTAAACCCAGTCTAAATTGTTTGGCTCTATGGTGCCAAAGTCCTTCTTAGTTATCAGAAACTCAATGGATCTCACGAATTTGCCTCAATTGCACTGTATTTGGAATTACTTAAAAAGAGGCATACCTTTATTTAAGATTTGGTGACTTGGATGGATCAAGGATATCCAATAAAAGTACTCAAAATACCAGCAAAAGCTGGAGACTTCTTGAGTGCCTTTTATATATGACAAGCAATGCTCCTAGCACTTTACACATATTAACTTCTCTAAGCTCAAAGAGAAGAACCTCAGGAACTAGGGACTGCCATCATCCCACTGTCAAGTGGAGAAACTGAGGTTAGGGAAGTCACTCCAAAGCTGAAGAGCTAAAACGCACCTTAATTTGCTTTTCTTATTTTATAGTGTAAAGATGTATGCCTCATATTTTGTATGTTGTATTTCAAATTATATATCAATATTCCAAGTTCTTGGTAAACTCATAATACTGGCTACAAAAGAGGGACAACTTTTAAACAAGTTACATTTTCAAATGCACATGTATCATTGTGCCAACTACCAATGCATACATGTATATATAGGCATCTGTACTTATATCAATATGTAAACACACTTAGGAACTGTCAACAAGATTTCTTTGGTAGTTCCAGGGCATTCTAGGAAATTGAATTGGGGGGGGGTTGTTTTTTCTTCTGTGACTGTTCCATCGCTACAGGTTATGCTGCTATGATGTAGCAATGAAATGTTTTGAGCACACAATATCTCTCTGTTGGTTAGTAAGTCATAAAATATCCAGTAAGAAAGCCTCGGTTGTCATCACTAGCTGTATAAAAATTCATGAAACGGCCAAGTTTTTTTCTTTTTACTTTTGACTGACATCTTATGTTTTGCTAGCATAACTTTATCTTGCGCTGGTCAGATTCTCTGATTAGTTTTTTTCATATGCCTTTAATTAAATGATATGAGAAAACAATTGCATATAATAAAAGCAGTCTGGAAGACTGAACATTTCAAAATATAGGCTCCACAGACATTAACAATTATAATCAAAATAATGCTATCTCCTTTTTAAATGGAATTCTCATGTACCTTCTAATAAATCTCACTCAAATTTAAAATTGTGATTTTTAGTAGTAAAACCCAACCTCATTAAAGCAGTGAGATTTAAGCAAGTTTAATAAAATGCCAAATTGGTTATTTTTACAATAGCATGAAAGGAAACCGAACTCTGAACTTCAATGAAAAGATTTTGTTCTTGATCTGTCATCTTTACGAGCAAGCATGCTGCCCCTTTATTCGCCTGTTGCCTTCAATAAAACAGCGCAGCTTCGTGTACTCCCTGCTTCATCCGGGCCATATAGCACTGGAAGAAAAACCACTATTAAGTGAAGCTCCTCACAGGGACTCCAGGGGATTGACAGTCATCTCCTCATCCTTGGTGAACACCCAAAACCCCAGATAGTGCGAAACCCTGCAAGCACCATTTCCCCTCACACACACACTATGATAAAGAACAAAAACTTTCAGTAAAGATAGATTGCATCACAGTGTGCCACTTAAAACTTACAGATTATCTATTTCTGAAATATTCCATTTAGTATTTTTAGACTACATTTGATGGCTAGTGACTAAAACCCAGGAAGTGAAATGACAGACAAAGGACTGGTCCATTCCGCAGATGAGGACATGAAGAACTGAAGAGATTGATGTAGTGTGCTCAAAGCTACACAGCTGGGGTGGGGGAAGGGCAGGTCCAGGACTTGGACCGAGGCAGGCTGACTACAGAGTCCAAGCTCTTGTTCCCTTCTGTCAACAAGATTCCTCCAGCTTTGATTCAAGTTAATAGGCATTTATGTTTCTTGCTTCCCAACTTGCATGCCCACTTTCCAGTCAGGCAATTACTCTCATCACTGGAACCCTTTCTATGTGATGGATAATTGTCCCACTTCCCTACTGCTGTATAACAAACCACTCCACACTTTAGTGGCTTAAATGCAGCCATAGTTTTAGTTGCTCATGAGTTTGTAGGGCAGCATCTAGCTCCGGGCTAAGTTGGGCGGGTTCTTCTGTTCATCTCTCCTTAAATTATTCATGTATTTAAGCCCTCTGTTGTTATAATGGGGATGAGGTAGTGTTAATGACCTCATTCATAAGTTTGATGGTTGTTGCTTATTATCGCCCACCTGTTTTCTCCACATACCTTCTCACCTTTATCTCCGCATGGTAGGCCCAGAGCAGAAAACAAATGAAAGCAGGTGTAAGACCCCTTAACAATCTTTCACATCTTGGGATCAGCTTTGATTCTCAGGGACAGGATACAGGTTCTGGTTCTAGCTGGGTGAGCCACCAAGTTACATTACAAAGGCCTGTATAAATCTTAAGGAATTCTTGCAAATACAACCTTGATCTTTTGTTTTATGGGTTTTGTAAATGTCTTGACCAACTTGCTTAGTTTGTGCTACCTTTGGCCATGTAGTAGCTGGCTATCTTAAATGTATTCAATTCCCAATCTTTTCCCTAATGACCTTTTGTTAAGGATTATAAAAATCTTTAAAATACATCTGTTCAAATATGTTTATAGCTAAACTGTCCTAGAACAGGAGTCTACTTTGCAGTTATTTCTGGATTTTAAATATATAACTATTTTTTTTTTTGCCCAAGAGAATAACCAGTTGTCTTGTCAAACTTGTTAAATGCTCCACTTTGTCATATATTAAGCTTTTCACATCTGTAAGTCTGTTTTGTCACACATCTATTCATGTACATTTATTACTGTTTTGTGTAGTGTAGTTATTTAATATGTTTTAATAGGATTAATTATCCTGCTTTGTTTTGTTTTATTTCGAGTATATGGGTCAGTAACATAACTCAGCATGTAAAGGCTTTTGTCACCAAGCACAAGGATCTCTGAGGATATTAGTTCACCTCAGAGACTCACATTTTGGAAGTTGAAAACCGTCTCCCCATAAGTTGCCCTCTG